GGGCAGGGGAAGCTGAGGCGCCAGCTTCGGGGGTCTTGCCAGACCAACTTGATTTTCATGCAAACCTGCCTCTGGGTTTACATGTGGCCTTTGGTGGCTGGGCTGGCAGCTATCCTGCCATAGACAGCCAGTGCATTCCTCCATCTAGTGCAGAGATCATGGATGTTGGGGGCATCCCCCCAAACCTGAATAAGGTCCATGATCTCCACCCTGGACCAGGAAGGCACCCGCCTTCTCCGGGCCCTGGCAGGCTCCGGGGAGCTGGCAGACTGCACCTGGGGAGCGGTGGAGGGCTGGCTGCCGGTGGCTTGCTGGCTCATGTTTTGAAGCCACTGGGTCAGGGGCGCTGGTGGCCACTGCTGGCTCTGGGCTGGCAGGCTTGGAGCTGGCACAGGCACTGTAGCCAGGGTCTACCCCTTTAATGTCTCTGGGGCTGAGGGAGAGGGGCAGGCTCCGGGGAGCTGGCAGACTGCACCTGGGGAGCGGTGGAGGGCTGGCTGCCGGTGGCTTGCTGGCTCATGTTTTGAAGCCACTGGGTCAGGGGCGCTGGTGGCCACTGCTGGCTCTGGGCTGGCAGGCTTGGAGCTGGCACAGGCACTGTAGCCAGGGTCTACCCCTTTAATGTCTCTGGGGCTGAGGGAGAGGAGAGTAAGTTTTCCTGGTTGTGCCCAGAGTAGCCACCAGGGCTCCCTTGGAAGGGCTGGAGGCCACCTATTTTGAATTAAGTGTCTACACAGCACTTAATTCGAAATAGCTATTTCGAATTTGGCGTTACTCCTCATAGAATGAGGTTAACTAAATTCGAAGTAAGCACTCCACTATTTCGAATTAATTTTGAAATAGCAGTTTGAATTAAAGTTAATTCAAAATAACAGCTGTTATTTCGAATTAACTTTGCAGTGTAGACATACCCAAATATCATTGCTGATAGAGGCAGGGTATTGAACTAAATGTACCACTGGTCTGATCTTTTCTGGCAATTCCTATGTAAATTTTTACAGATCTGCTCTTTTTTGGTTATTTTACATAGGTACAAAAATGAAATTACAGTATCTGAACCTCCTATTCATTATCTCTTGCTTGTCAGACATCTTGTGGGTGATAAACATTAGCTGTACAATCTTATACTGATTTTAAATATAGTCCTGGCAGTAGTTTCGGAACTTGAAGAACAGTCTCCTTTAAATGAATCACTACATTACTGATAGTAAGTAGTAACTGTTGTGACCCAGTAGTTAGACATACTAAGGTGAGGTTTAAAAATGATACTCTTATTTGTTATGTTAATATAATAAAAGTCAAATAACAGCGTCCCACTATTTGAACAAGTCTCTGTTTAATAAGACAAATGTTGTCCAATAATTTTCTCTGTTTCTGTTCTGATTTTTTTTAATTGGAACTCAATTGGTGTTTTAGGCATAATTAATCTATTGCATAATCTCATTATGACTAAAAATATTGCTGAGACTTTCTGCCATTAGATGAAATATTCTGTTCTGAGTAATCACTTAAAGCAATACTTTGTGGGTTGCACCTTGCATTGAAAAATTGTAAACATGCCAGTTTTTGTAGTGTCTGACATAAGTATGAGAACTTAATATATTTACAGGAAGGGGCCTTGAATTTCCTGGCCAAAACATACTTGCTTTGCATAGATTTTGGAGGATAAATTTATTCTATTGTGTTGAGCTGAATATGCTTTTGGCATTCTTAATTTAACTCTTAGGAGTTGTTTTCCAGGAAAAAGCAGAACTATGTGACAACCCAAAAGTGTTAGCTGGAGAACATGTTTGAAGTGATCTAAAAATGACACCTTACCCTATTAAAGGAATTAGAGAAGCAACAAGGAAAATTTCAGAAAATCCCATGCCACTGATTCACTGTGTAGCCTTGGATAAGCCACATAAATTCTCTTATGTCCATGTTCCTGTTGGTAGGCATGCCTACTTCACAGGAGCATTGCAAGGATTAAAATAAGAATGTTTGTAAAGTATTTTGAAAGTGATACACCTTACTATTGCCTATGTGTATACCTTGAGGAGCAGGCAAGATTTTGCAAACAATAAGCTTAAATTCAATTTCTTCTATAGGTTTATGATTAGATAGTGCCTCCTAATTGTATTATTTGCTGTATTCCTCAACAGTGACCTGTATAGATCTATTGCATGGTACCTTTTAAACAAGGAGCATTTAACACTTTCAGCCCTGATCTAGCAATGAGGTGTTTTCTGATTTCTCCATGTAGGGCCTCATTAATTTTAATAGAGCTCCCAGGCATGGGATCTGCTTACATCAGGGTTTCCCAACCTATGGGTCGGGACCCAAATATGGGTCGCCAATTACATTTCAAAAGGGTCGCCAAGTGTCTCCCCAGGTGGTTCTGTCTCCTTTCCTCTCCCCGTTTTTGAATTGCCTTGGGTCACCAAGTCTTCCTGAATTGTCAAAATGAGTCCCCGTCTGGAAAAGGTTGGGATCCGCTGGCTTACGTGGATCTTCTTGCAGCAGTTGGGCTTTGTTTGCCAGTTGTTAATCTGACAGTCCATAGTTTTTAAATCACATATCAGTAGAAATCTATGTTTAAATTGTGGGCAGGGCATAAATGCATCGATGTGCTAAAGAAGCACTAGGAGCTTAACCTAAAGCTCCTTGAAAGCATTGAAAGGACTGCCAGATGTTTCAGTGGGCTTTGTATCAAGCTCTAGCTGAGTATAGGGCCTTCAATCTGGCTAAGGAATAGCTATTCAGATCCCTTAATCTTTGGCTTCAGACTAAAGAGAAAATTCTGTCCACTCCAAGTCCTTTTGCAAAGCCTGCTTACTCGGACTTTATAGAGAGGAGAAGAATTTGAATGAGTCTTAGCTGCTTCATTAATCTCAATAGGACAACAACTCAGATGCCAACATAAGGATGACCATTTAAATATCAATTTTTACTATTTACCTTATGATTATTTCCAAAACGGCACCCAGCATATGTGGAGTGTTTTCACTGTGGATGAAGTTATCCGAAACAGGATTTAGAGATGTAAATACCTGGAAGCTCTGTTGGATAGTTGATTTAGGTTAGTTCTCTGTATGAGAGTCTGAAATGGGAAAAGAAAGAGCTAGGTGACTGTGAATTCCTTGGGAGGAAATCTTTAATGAAGAGCAAAAGATCTCATAGAAGTGGGAACGGATTTTATTTGGATTTGGAAAACAAGAGTAATCTATTTGTCTAGGTATTTTTATTCCTCTGCCCCATTTCACAGTATTTAAATAATATGGTTTTTAGAATAGTTATTATAGAACAATGATGGCTTCTTCTCTATTATATTGTATAAAACTTTTCCAGGAGGGGTGAATCAATTGTTTGTGATTACATCTACCTTTCACCATCTACGTCTTTGTACTGCACCTAACACCTACATGCCTCATGAACTCTCTCTCAGGGCCTTGAATGCTTCTTGCCAGATTGATCCAAACTCAACTAGAATAGATGGGGCATTTCTCTCCCTAATTCCAGTGTTCTTTAGGCAGGTGGTACTATCTCAGATTTCCTTTATTTTTCCTGCAAAGTAAGAGATTTTCATAACTGCTGCCATTTGTATCTGGAGTAGGCCATCCTGGCAAGTTAGCCCACCTAATATTCAGAACAGTTGCACAGATTGCAACTTCACATTCTCTTGAAAGAAGAGAAGCAAGATCTCAGCCTAGTAGAAAGACATCAATGCCTGTGCTATAATTTATATTTGCCTTTTTATGCTCTTTTGGCCAGGAATTTTTAACATACTTTTATTGTATTGCCAGGTCTCTTATCTTGCGTTTATTCTTGTTACTCTAGTTGCTACTGGTTTTAACTTGTACACAGGAAACTGCAGTGCCAATCAATTTAGTTCCCAAGGTGACAGGAAACCCTATTTGGTCAGATGTTGATTGTGCTTGTCTTTACTGCTCCACCCATCACATTTTCTTCCTTTTTGGCTGAAGTTAAGACAAATTAATCATTGGCCACCATCTGGCAGACAGTTTTGGTGGTGTGTCAGTTAATTGTCCAGCAGACCTGTTAAAAAGTAGTAAGTAGTGTAATAAGCTGAAGGGAAGTTTCAGTGGTAGGACTAAAATCTTTTAGGAGGCCTAGAATCACACACTGACTTTGACAGAATGAGTCATATGGGTAATTATGAGAAAACTATGGTCTTGTCTACAGGCAAGAAATTTAGCTTTCTAACTGCTGTCTGGTTCCAGTAGCATGCATGTCGGCACACTTCACACCTACAGAGGAAAG